CTGTGTGATGAGCGAATGCTTTAACCACTATTATCTTACCTTCATGTAAAATATTTTAATTTCATTGGTCCCAGGAGGGCGACAACTGGAAAAAATATTACCCACTACCACGGTAACTGCCAAGCTCTCCGCTGAGAAGCTGAAGCGCTAACAATCGTATGACGTCATAATATGACGCATGCCGTGCCCGGCGTTCGAAAACCGTTTGATCAGCTGTCTTTGTGTTCACTTTGTGCAGTTTTATTTTACCGACTTTCAATGCTTTATTTAAACTATTTTATACATTGAGTGGTTTGCATACTCAACTTAAACATAATTAACCATTTTTATAGCAGTTTTAAGCTTGTCAGACTATGTTTCACTGATTTTAAAAAGCCAGTCGAGAGGCAGACGTCATTTTGTTTACATGTCATATAGTCGGTCACGATCTTTAACATAAAATAAAATGATGTTTTGTACATTTAACTTGGCGTTAAGATGAAACGTTTTATGCTTCTCCCTCGGGTAATACGGTCTGATGGTCAGACGTACGCCTTTTTGTAGCAGTATCGGCTCAGGTGACACTGCTACAAAGAGGCATACATCAGACCGTATTACCCTCGAGAGAAGCATACAACTTATAGTCTACCCCACTGCCCAATGTGCATCAAGAATGTCACAGACAATATAATGCTGGGAAATTACTCTGTAAGTTATGCATGGAATGTGAGACAGGGAATGTCATGTTGTAGTTCACACTATCCAACAGCCACGACATGGGAGATGAGTCTGGATAGTGGTGAATGGAGACCAACCCATGTCATCAACTATCTCAGTACCATAAACATGACACTTAGCCAGTCATGTTTATATGGTGGTTACCATGGTAACTGATTAATAGCACATGAAATAATGAAGCTGTTATGATAAAAATATATTGAACTTGATAACAGGCTGCCACGGTGTCATGGGACCAGTGATATATTGATTCATGTACAAAACCTGTCTACATCAGTTACATGGCTGCCGGTGGTGTCATTCACTGATCCGACAGTTTCATGGAGAACGTAATGGCGTCCCACTTGTTTAACATGTTTAAAGGCTGTAAACAGCATGTATGGTTGGGGCATGACACAACCACATGGATCAATAATTTGTGCAGTTCCTTTTGTGTTTTGTAATAGCTGAGTAACATGTTTGAACATGTTCATTGATAAGGTTTATGTCATTGATGTGCAGGAAACATGTCAGACCCAATAAACATGGTGCCCCAGTGTGTGAAATTTATGCTGGTCTTGTGGTCCCTCGCTAGTAAAAATTCATCATGACCACTAAATGATAAGTTTGCAGTGGTCCTGGTGGCCAGTGAATTTTGTATTGATAGTTAAAGGTCACATGCAACGTAAAACACAACTTTGCAGATTCTGATACCTTTCTGTATGGACTTACCTAAACAAATCATCAAAAATGCAAATTCAACTTATTAAGTTGAAAAATAATGCGATGAAAAAAAACGCGCGAAATTGTAGTTCAAACGATTCACTAATTTTCCCCCAGCGTTTGTGGGGAATTCAAGTGGTTTTCAACAGCAACAATGGCTAAGCTCATATGGTGCCCCACCGTGGATCTTTGCTGGAATAGTGAAATAGGTTAGCTAAACTTGGAAGGGTTGTCGGTGAATACTTTCGGTGAAGGACTTTGGTGTTAGCTATTTTTCTAATGTTTTGTTGATATCTCACAGGCGCAAGCTTTTTATATGTTATGACAGTAAATTAACTGTTTATATAATTTCATTTGTCTATTTCACCACACGTTTTTCTTACCGAGTCACTTTCTCAGTTCGATACTTAAAAGCAATGTCATTATTTAGCGTTGACAGAATTTCTAACTGTGATATAGATATGTCGTTGTCACAGACAAAACTCAATGTCTTGTTTTATTGACACCTGTGTGTCTGCCTGCCTGTCTGCTAATGACAATATTCAATACACAACTGCAATCACTGACCACATGCAATTTGAACTTAACACCTATAAGGCTATACACCATAAACAAAATGCATTGATTTATGGCCCGAGTTCGGTCTCTGTCACATTATGTAATTACACAGACAGGCAGGTGTGATACTTGTACACATGACATGTTATGATGTCTGTTGATTGCAAAATGTTATACACAAAAAATGAGCATGTATTTACAAAACCCAACATCTCTATATATACACACACAATGAGCTGTGAGGGGCATCTGCAAATGAACCAGCCGTTACACTTGAGTGCACACCCACCCGATCTGACTGGGTTCGGTATCCCGGCTGCTTCGTTTCTTTGGAAGTAAACCCAAGTACACAATATTGCACTTTTGATTTGCGATTGTACAGCTTATAATTTTGTTTTTATAACCAGCAATATATTTTTCATAACCAGCAATGTATATTGCATGTATGTCATGAGATCCAGATAAGTGATAATTGTGTTTTAATTATGTTTGATTTTTTGGTTGCATGTGACCTTTAAGTAAATCACTGAATGTTATTTTGGACCAGTGAAGTACAGGCAGGACCACTAATTATTGTCCACTCATTAGTCCTGAGTTCTAGTGGGAAATTTTGAAAGGTTTTTTTCCCTGGTGCCCCATATCCTTTCCAAGTGAATACTTAATATTTCAGCCCCCATGAAAATCCTGGTCAAGTTGGTCTGCTGTAGCTCACGTTTATCTTTAATTTGGATGAGAGTTTAAATATGGGGTGATAGTTTGGCTAGGTGCTACACTGACTGGGTTGATGCAGTTGCGTAGATTGATGCTCCTGGATTGTCAGGTTGATTCAATCACTGGACAGTCAGGTTCAGATTTGTTTAATTGCTGATGTCTATCATGTCTTCAAACTGGAATATTGTTGGGAGATTATGCAGACACCAGTCGATTTGGGTGAACATGGTGTATTTTTCAAAACCCCAACTGACCAACAACATAGGAAACCCCAAACAACAATTTTCAGTGGTCCAGGCTACTTACAATAAAACTATGGAGTGCCCCAGTTAGATGAGTGTAAGATGTTTTATTACTTGTTACTTTTGCTTGCACGAGTGTTCTAAATGTGGGTATCAACATTAACATAGGATAGACAGATGAAACTTGGTATATAACTGTCACTGACACAAGAACATTTGACAACACATTGGCTGTATAACTGAGAATTGGACGTACTGTATGTTAAATCTGACATTACAGTCAAATGCCATTGTGTGGAACTTTGATGTGTCAAACCTATGGTTGTCTCAGAGGAAGACCTGAGATCTGCTTATTCTTCATTTGATTATCGGGTAGCCTAGTGGTGAAAGCATTTGCTCGTTGCGCCGAAGACCAGTGTTTGATTCCCCACATGGGTACAATGTGTGAAGACCATTTCTGGTGTCCCCTGTTGTGATATTGCTGGAATATTGCTAAAATCGGGGTAAAACTAAACTCACTCACTCATTTTGTGGCTTTGTCAGACATGTGGTAGTGTTATATTGGGTAACAATGTTCCAAGTGTGTAGCATTGTATATTCAGTAGGGGACAGTGGTGTGCTATATTTAGAATGATGCTAGATTTAGACAGAAAGTTCTGGAATTTGCCACTCTATTTTGTATTGTCTTAGTAATCATTAGTAAATATTGCCTCTGTATTGATTAGTAAACTTAGCTAATTTTAGAATACAATTGTAAATTGTTTGTTATATTTTTCACACCTAGTTCTTTTACAGACCTGGGTAGCCCAGTGGTTTAGGTGTTCACTTGTCACACTGAAGACCTGGGTTTAACTTTCCTCATGGTTACAATGTGTGAAGCCCATTTCTGATGTCCCCCACTCGTTCTTTTACGGACTGATTCTCGGTTAACGTTTCAGTTTAAACTTGGTAAAACATAAAGTTACAATATACTCTCCTTGAGCTTTATCACTGCAGTATTTGAAAGTAGATTATTATCTCAAAATATAAATCTTGACCAAATCTCTATCTACATTCATGAATGCTGTCTAAAGCGTATGTAGTTGTGTTTGTTATTCATAGATTTTTTAAAGTTCCTAGTTTACATCTAGTTCCTTCCTGAACTCTTTCATCACCAGTGAACAAGAAGCATTTACTATTGTGATACCGACTGAGGTGCCCGTGAAGATCCGGGTTAGAATGAACCTTCAGTAACTCTTGCTTGTTGTTAGAGGCAACTAACAGGATCGGGCGGTCAGGCTCGCTGACTTGGTTGACACAAGTCATCGGTTCCCAATTTTTTAGATCGATCCTCACGCTGTTGATCACTGCATTGTCTGGTCCATGCTCAATTATTTACAGACAATCACCATATAGCTGGATTATTCCTGAGTGCGGCATAAAACTAATCTCACTCACTCACTCACCGACTGAGGTGATTGATAAAGCCGACGTTTATCAAGGAAAATATCAGCTTGTAAAACATCATGGTTACTACTTGTCACATACCATCTGAAAGGTCTAATTGTACTGTTAATATATATAAAACGTTTTTTTTATCACATTATTTAAGTAATACACGTACATTTAAAGTGAATTATTTTGATAAAAATGCGGAGGAAGTGAAACTTGTGGTGATTTTGCCCAATTATTACATATAATATCCTCTTAGTCTTACCCTTTTTATTTTTTGTTTTCATGTTTACTAAAGCAGAAAATTATTATGAAAAGATTTTTTTAATAATATGTTTGGTCGCCTATTAATATGTTTGGTCATTGAACTACATGACATGTAATTGACCGGCCCAGCAGAGTGACTGTTCTGGTGTTTTAATAGGCTGCCTGTCCAGTGAAGCAGTAAATGTATAACTGAATGGGTGGTAGTTTTATCTTTGTGTCATTTATCTCAAACTGAAAATAAAGCGTTTCTACGAATAGGGTCCTGCATGTATTTATTAGAACACAATGGCAATATAACATGCTTGATGTTGAAGCTATTTCTGTATTGGCACAGTCTGTATGTGATTCATCATGTGTCTGTCTGTTGTCCAGGTTGCATCTGCGTTCAATGGCCGTGTGCTGAAGGAGCCGAGAGGGTTCATCAAGATCATTCTGTTTGTGAGTACTAGTAGATATTATGACCCTTGTATATCACCCAGGATTTGGACATGATTTTTGACCCAGTGTTCTGAGATGTCCAGTCCAGTCCTGGTCGGAGTTGTGTCCCTTGGACTATGTTGTCCAAGATGTTATGATGAGGGGTTCGATTTTCAGATTCTCTACAGTTATGATTCAAGGTTTGTTGTAGATTTTATCAAATTGGTAAACATCTGCAACTTGCATCCATTTAGGATTTCTTACCTCGTCAAACTGATGTGTGATGTTGTCTCTGAAATACTGTTCACATCAGCATTGAACAGCTGCATTATGATTGGTTGAAATTAGTTCTGCTTTTCAGGAGTAAAATGTATGTTTGTGACAAGAAAAATGACTTTGTTCACAGTGAGATCAAGGAATCAAGTTACAGTTTCATTGATTTTGGTAAAAGTGAAAACTGTTATGATCTGACATTGTCAGGTCTACCTTGTATAGGGGCGGTGGGGTAGCTTTGTGGTTAAAGTGTTCGCTCGTCATGCCGAAGACCTGGGTTAGATTCCCCACATGGGCACAATGTGTGGAGCCCATTTCTGGTGTCCCCTGCCATGATATTGCCTGATTATATTGCTACAAGCAGTGTAAAACCCAACTCACTCACTCACTCACTCTACCTTGTGTAGCATTCAAGACATTCCTGAATGAGAATTGCCTGCAGACAAGACCATTCCTGAACACCCCCCATTACAATAATACAGGACTACAACAAGGAGGGTGTAATGGCAAGTGATAACTAGAAGTGACACACTATCTGACCGTATGTACAACAGTCGTGGGAGTTTCATTGGCTTTAGTTTACTTAATGTATGTGCATTTGATTGGATCTTAATCTTTCATCCAATGAAAAGGTGTGGCTCTAAAACAAGTCTTGGACCAAGTGTGTATCGTAATTTTTTTATGGCATGGTAACCATTGAGTTTAGATATCACGATGACTTAGTGATACAGGATTAGTATATAACCAACCTATTGGAACGCCTCCGGTGAAACACCTTGTATGAATTCTGGCTCTGAGACTGGTCCCAAGTTGTGGTGGACAGTGTGCCTCATTGTGAGGCCTAATGGGAGAACACCTGCCTGTGTAACATTATCAAAAGAACTTATTTTACTTTTACGGTCTGGCATTGTTTGTCTTACTATGTATGTCTGTGACAAGAAACATGACTTTGTTCACAGTGAGATCAAGGAATCAAGTTACAGTTTCATTGATTTTGGTAGAAGTAAAACTGTTATGATCTGCCATTGTCAGGTCTACCTTGTATAGACATGGGGGTAGCCTAGTGGTTAAAGTGTTATAGACATGTCACAAGAACTTTTATGAATCCCCACATGGGTACAATGTGTGAAGCCCATTTCTGGTGTCCCCCGCCGTGATGTTGCTGGAATAAAGCGTTTTATAAAACCAAAACTCAGTCAGTCAGTCAGTATAATATAGACATGTCACAAGGCGTTTTTATGATATAGACATGTCACAAGGCGTTTTTATAATATAGATATGTCACAAGGCGTTTTTATAATATAGACATGTTATGAGCTGTCATATTTGTTGTCTTGCATGATTAGTGTTATATGGGCGGTGGGGTAGTCTAGTGGTTAAAGCATTCGTTCGTCACTCCAAAGACCCGGGTTTCGTTCCCTAGATGGGTACAATGTGTACAAGTCTATTTCTGGTGTCCCCAACCATGATATTCCTGGAATATTGCTAAGACCAGACCAATTTTATTTCTTGTTTTACGGATTTTTGTCCTCAAAAAGCCTATGGGCAGGAGGAAAAAAATAAATAAATAAAATCACCAATCAGAGTAATATTCCTTCTAAATACTAAAAGTAGTTTACTTTTGGCAATTTATGAAGTGTACATGGGGCAAAAAACAATCTAAAAAACAAATTCTTGTAAGTTTACATTTTGGGCCAATAAAAACATTAGGATTTATTTTTTGAGCAGGGAAAATTAATTTATTTTTTGTCTTATTCTTGAAAAAATACGACCGGTGGATCCATAAAACAAGAAATAAAATTGGTCTGGCCTAAAAGCTGTGTATAACTAAACTCACTCATAGTGTTATAGAGCAGGACCTAGCTGTACATGGGGTTCACTGACATGCTATCATGTTCTACCCAGTGGTATGTGATGAACAAGTGATGAAAAATGTGAACAGTACTGTAGTTCAAGGGAAGTAACTCTAGCAGCCTTGAAAGGAAGATCCAGTAAAATACCTCATAACTGGCTCTCTTCATAAGAAGTACATTTCTTACACACCCGTGGGTGAGAAACCCATGTGAGAAAACTGGTATCACACATATGTGTGAGATTGATTTCTAATCCCGTGATTGGCTACTCCATGGTGATGACCTAGGGTCAGGTTATGACGGACTACTTTCCTGATTAAAATTCATTGATAAGTTCCTCGTGCTTCAATCGAACAGGAACCTGTTGCTCGTGCAAAAAAACCCAACCTTTACACCTACCTGTTATTTTCTAGATATTTAATAATTTATACAATGAAACAGAATTTGAAGAAATAGAACACGAATCTATTGATTTTCTAATTCCTTTTATTAAAACTTTTGATTTCTAGTCATGAATTCAAACTAGCTTGAACAATCAGTGAAACCTGTGTATTAAAACAATTATGTGAAAATCGCCGTTAAAGATAAAGACCGGGATTCCCTTCAAATATTCAAAATGTACAACGTTGGTACTTTTACTGGAGAGATGCGACAAGTCATGTATCGTCTTGCAAAATTAAAATACCTGACACGATAACGTCAGTGATCAATTTGCCTCGTCGTTTCTTTGATGAATTGATGAAGATAACATTTTTCATTGATAAACATGATAAAGACCCACTTCAGTTCCAGCTCCGAGCTACTATGTGATTCCAAAACACACTCGTATAAACAATGTACAACATGGAATGTTTGCAAGGGTTCATGAGTGCAAATGGCAGCACACGTTCTTTCTATTCAATCGAACATGTACAGAAACGGTTTTATCTACACATAAGTTATTGCTTAAGATATTCCTCTGACGCATGATAATGCAAAGTTCATGTCTTCATAACATACAGGATGTAATCAACTCACATTTCATACTGACAACTCCGTAAATTCCGTTACATTCCAAGTGGCAGTTTCTGGCTCGGGAAAACAAGAAGGCTGTGGCGAAGAAGAGTAGTCCCCCATTGATAGTGAACGTAACCTCAGCAATGTCATATTCAAGCACAGGGGTTACACCTAATGACACACAGTCAATAGTTTTGGCTCCGATTCGATGGGAGAACATTGAACGTAAACTGGTACACAAGTACAGATCCCCAATGTGCAGAGATATCCAAAACAATCTTCCGATGACGACAACCACCAAACGATGACGATGACATCACACGCTGAAATATTTTTTGCTTGCAAGAATTAAAATTGTCCACATTTACATGGTAACATCATCGTTTTAGAGGGTTTAATTAATTTTCTGTGATCTTATCTACTTTGCATTATCACTATTGCCTTGATGACGCGAAGATATGGCAGGAACTATTTTTGTGGAGGGTCACCTTGGGGATGAGTAGTAATTAGGAAGCCAAGTGACGTCACTCATTCACAAACGTTGTGTATCATTGCGCAGCTACGATGAGAAATTATGAAATTTGTATCTATTCAACCATGAAATGGTGCGATTTTATGGTGTGTAAGAAACAGATTACTGTACTCGTGTCTGTAAGATATAATTTATCTTACAAATCGTTGTTTCAAAACGTATTTAACTCGCTTTCGCTCGTTAAATACGTTTTGAAACAACTCGTTTAGTAATCTCTATTGATTTATTTGGAACTGCTCCAAGGCTGATATTCATACCAAATCTGTAAAAATGTTAAAACTGTAAAATTTCACAAAGTAATAAGTAAGAAGTTTCAATTTCATGAACATGTGAGTGAGTGGGCGAATGAGAGATAGAAAAATATTTTTCTTTATTGCCCCTGGTTTGCCTTACAGGAGCGTGTTGTGTGTATTCCTAGATAAATCCCTGCTGTTACCTTTTGCCTGTCTTATTTCATATTTTTATGTAAGTTTGTCAAATTGCAGAGTTCTTGTTTTATAACACTGTTTTTCAAATGAATTAGGAATGTGGATCCTTTCTGTATCTTCCAGACAGATAGGTTGTGATAGATTTTACATTGGAAACATTTAAGTCATAATGGTTTAGTAATTCCCTTTCACTCACACTCACACTCAAACTTACTTTCATACTAACTCAGCATTCACCTGATATAAGGGCTAGAAGTAGCCCAGGAATGGCATTAACAATGAATAGAAGAAATTGTTACCAATAAAAAGGTGTCATTTATCCAAACGTCAATGATATTTGATTCTAGAACATAGGTGTATATCAGTGAGGGTTTCAGTGTGTCCACATTGTTGGATTTGAGAACCCTATAATCTCTAATTTCTCAGTAGGTCAGCTTATGGATGAGTATTGCAAGTCGATACTTACATGTACATGTGTTTCAAGTCGATACTTACATGTGTTGCAAGTTGATACTTACATGTGTTGCAAGTCGATACTTACATGTGTTTCAAGTTGATACTTACATGTGTTGCAAGTCGATACTTACATGTGTTGCAAGTCGATACTTACATGTGTTGCAAGTCGATACTTACATGTGTTGCAAGTCGATACTTACATGTGTTGCAAGTCGATACTTACATGTGTTTCGAGTACGAGTACCAGCAAGTACCATCATGCTCATGGTGATGTGTTTTTACACTCAAAGTAAACCTCTGTGTTAGATTTTACTGCCACCACATTCAGATATTGCTGTTTAGAGTATTTTTAATTTCTGAATTAAGGTTTCATAGTCAGTGCCTAAGACAATTAGAGTGATCTCCCCTTAGCAAATGTCCTTGATGAAAGACTTGCATCTTTGATTGATAGTCACTGATTGAACTTCAATACCAGTAAATTCA